TATATATATATGTATATGGACTTTGAAACAGAATAAATGATTACTTTCTAAATTATTTTTCACACTGACAGGCGTAACTGGGAAATTGTTTTTTCCTCTGAAAAAATGATGAACATCACTCTCAGGGTTCGGCATTTGTGGATTAGATATTATGTTGGCGGAGCAATTTTTTATTTAGACCCACACTTGTGGTTGCCTACGTGCCACGTGCCACTTGCTTGTGTGTGTTCATATTGCAATAGACAGAAGAAATCTCTCAATTTTTATTATTTCGCTCTTCATTTGCTTGTTTCTAGTTCCCTCGTGTTTCAAGCAGATGGGATGATTTGACCTCTGATCAACTTTCTCTTTCTTAACTATTATACGCGTGTATTTCAATGTTGATGGCCTTCTTAGTTTTACCTTGAAGTCTTAAACTGAATTGGGTAACTCAAAGTGATATTTCATAATATTCGAGTTCATAGGCTTTAATGGAGGGACTATGTTGCTTTTAGAGAACTTGCTCATTTTATGTCATGGCATTTAAGCGGCTGGATAGCACATCACATTTATGTGGGATAGACATTTATCTATGGTGTTCAAAAGCCTCTGAAAGACCTTAGGCTATGTTTAAACATTTTCTTTGATGATTTCTCTTCTGTGATTAACTAGGATATTCAACTGAACCGCAACATCAAGGATGCACTTATAGCAGAGGAAAAATTCTTCCGCAGCCGACCAGTATGTACTGAGTTATTCTCGATATCCATGGATTTAATTCTCACATCTCTTAGAAGTACTCTAATGACATATTGACCGTTGTAGGTTTACAGTGATCTTGCTGATCGTTGTGGGGTGCGCCAGTTGGCCAAGAAGTTGAACCAGGTAACATGATGTGAAATTGAGTCTCACTCAGTTCTTCTATGCCTATATTGCTTGATATATTCTGTGATTTAATCACAAAATATGATATGATTTTTTTGCCTTTTCTCCTTGTTCACGACCATCTTGCTACTCATGTCTCTTTTTACAGATTAGCCTTTTGTGCACCCACATATTGCTATTGCATTCATATGTTATGATTTGCACTTCATAATCTATGGACGTTATAACTCGGTAGCAAAATAATAGCATAAGTTCATAACAGTGTTTGTGAGATAAGTGAATTTGAGTTCTAGATGTCCTTTCCTTTAAGAAGATGCTTGGTGCTGATCTTTTCCTTAACCTCTTTGGCACTCTTTATTGTAAATGTGATGACATTTTCTGCTTGGTTTTCAGATTCTGGTACAACATATTAAGACAGTTCTCCCTGGGTTGAAATCACGAATTAATGCTGCGCTTGTCTCTGTTGCGAAGGAGCACGCAAGCTATGGAGAAATTGCTGAATCAAAGGTTTTTCCTTTAATTATCTTTTTGAGAAAGCAATTTATATCAATTCCTCTTTTGTGTTCAGTGCACTTGGATTCCTTAAGAAATGGGGAGTATCTTTCTGCATGCGGAGAAACTCAAACAGTAATATCATATTTGTGACCTTGCTCTGCCTCATCCTGTTTTGCTAATTCAGAACAGCATGACATATTCTACGTAATTGACTTCTAAATGGGTGTTAAAATTTTTTAAAGTTGGGTGTTCCAGACAGTAATGGACTAGTGTCTTGGTTTCTAATTCTTTGTCTTTTCGTGATGAATAGGCTGGGCAGGGAGCACTTCTGCTTAACATTCTTTCCAAATACTCCGAAGGTATGTGGCCTCTGGTTTTAGATATATCTAAGAAATTGAGGGAGTTAAGTACCCGCTTTTGGTAATATGATGCTTGCTAAGCCCTTCCATAGAGCACTCTCATTTAATTTATGCCTGTTCTGCATAAACTTCATTTCTGTAATGTCTGGTGTGGCTTAAACATTTATTTATATCATTTTGATCATTCTTGTCTGTGAATGCATTTATTTTTCATTTTGTGAACTATAGTAACATCTATTGTGGTTTTGTAGTCATAACTTTGTGTACAAAATTGAATTGCAGCTCCAAAACCTGATGCTTGGCTCAATTTTGTACAATTTGTATTGTTAATTGGCATCCAACTCCATATATAGTGTCAGTGCTGTAGGAGAGAGAGTTTTGTTATAATATAATTTCAGTTTTCTTTGGAAACAGCGCTCTCTTCAATGATTGAAGGAAAATGTGAAGACACATCAACATCTGAGCTGTTTGGTGGTGCAAGAATCCAGTACATTTTTCAAAATATATTTGTGAAGTGCTTGGAGGTTGGTTGTGTACTTATGTTAATTTGACTACTATTAGCAATGGAAACCATTGTCAGTCTTCGACACTGAATTTTTGTCGGTAGTTTTTATTCCATAATGAGAACACAAGCGGAGTCATTCTAATCAAATTGCATTGCTCTATTTACTGATTGTTTACCAAAGTTACCACAATGTTACTTTTAAGATTAAATTATCCTTTGATTTGTTTACATGCTGATAATGCAGCATGTTTCTTAATTTCGAAGATAAATATTGCAAAAAAGTGACATTTTATTGAGTGAATGGAACTATGAGCAAGCATGTTATGCATTTAGTCTTGTTATTGCTTCATGTGGTTAGTAAGAAGGTATAATGTTCCTTCACGTAGGCCGTCATATACTAAATTTCAACATTTATGAAAGTGAGGATTTTTCTATTGCAATTGATGCTGGAAGAGTCATTGTTGACAATTCTCCTGGCATAGTGCTAATAATGGCATAGTGCTAATAATGGACTAGATCAAAATGGCTCAATTAAATTCTAGTGCTTCTTCTATTAGTGAAGTTTCTAGAAAAAAAAAATATATCAAACGGCACAATGCACCTTGGGTCGCTACGGAAACAGTATAATTACAAGGGTAAGGTCTGCGTACAACTGACCCCCCAAACTCCAACTTGTTGGGAATATACTGGGTATGTTGTTGTTGTTGTTGTTGTATGAAAGTGAGGATTTTTCTATGCTAGTAGTAAATGAGTTTCTTAAGACGTTAGTTGCTTAAGCACTGAAGTTCAGGATGTTATAGAAAATCAGTTTCATATCAAGTTCTGTTAGATGTGATACTTCTATTCTCTGTTCTGCAGGATGTAGATCCTTGTGAGGATTTAACTGATGATGACATCCGAACTGCCATTCATAATGCTACTGGTCCTAGGTCTGCATTATTTGTGCCAGAAGTAGGTCATCAAAGCTAATGCAGCCTTTTTCCGTGCATTTTGTTTTGGATCCTTTAAATATCATCCACAGTATCAAACCCTAGTCTAATGCAAATAAAATGAAAATATGTAGGTTCCTTTTGAAGTGTTGGTCCGAAGACAAATTGCACGTTTGTTGGATCCAAGTCTTCAGTGTGCTAGGTTCATCTATGATGAACTTATTAAGGTACTCATATTTATAAAATCTTAGTATGGAAATTGATGCATTCATCCTTGTATGTAGACAGTGATCCCAGTGGTTTTCTTGCAGATGAGTCATCGATGCATGGTAAATGAGCTCCAACGCTTCCCATTCTTGCGAAAATGCATGGATGATGTTGTTGGAAATTTTATGCGAGAAGGCCTTGAACCATCACAGACAATGATAGGACATATTATTGAAATGGAGGTAATCAAAGTGGTGATCGTGTGTAAACAATTGCACTATGATGTGGAAAATGCTTATCAGCTAAATAACTTACGTGGTTGGATACAATTTATTGTGGAGATGCTTTTGAAAATGATTATGCTGATATATATGCAATCTGTAATCTGCCAAACAAGTCATGTTAATTGGTTTTTGTCTTCTTTTTTTTTTTTGCTGTGTGTGCGTGTGTTGTATATTCATGGTATTTTTGTTAAACCCTGCCTCACATTATTTTCTTTCTGAATGCAAGAATGGTCTTCATTTCACGCATTAAAAAGGACAAGTTTTGTACCGAGGGAAATTAAATAGCAATTGTGTTAAGTTGGGGTGGATCAATCTTTTTGACTTGGGATGATAAAGTTGTTCAGGTGCTTACTGGGTTAGATTTTACATAACTGACCATATTACTAGTTACTCTAGTGTGGATTTGAGAAGCGAATATTGTAATCGAAAATTAAATTAATAATATTTATAAATGACATTTAGTTGGCTTTGCATTTGTTCGGATATATTATACGTTGCTTGATTGTCTGTTCTGTAGATGGATTACATAAACACTTCCCATCCAAATTTCATTGGTGGTAGTAAAGCTGTAGAGATGGCATTGCAAATGGTCAAGTCATCCAAGATAATAGTACCCAATGGAAAACAAAAGGTTACTGCAGTTTGGTTTACTGGTGGTTACCTTACATATATGACTGGTTTACAAGAATCTGTTTGTAAATCTGTGAGTTTCTTATCATATAGGAAATAGGAGATTCGGAGAGAGCAGCAGCAACGGATAGAAATCTGAAGTCTCGGTCTATAATTGGACGGCAAGTGAATGGAGTTTCTGAGCAAGTAAGTATCTGTTGGTGTTAATTGTCTCAGTAGAGCACTTAAATATGTTTGTGAAGTTAACTAATAGCCTTTTGCTGCTTTTTTTGTTTTAAAAAAAAAATAAAGGCTGTTCGAGCTGCTGCAGAATCTGAGAGAACTGCATCAAGTGGTACTAATGATGTCCAGCACTGTTTTTCTTTTCTTTATCGCGTCACTTATTTGATTTCATTCCTGCTTTCCCTTTCCTTGAGTAAATAATTCACTTTCTCAGTCTCTATGTGTGTGTGTGTGTGAGAGAGAGAGAGAGAGAGAGAGAGAGAGAGAGAGAATCAGAGAATCTTACCAAGTTTTGCCCATTATTCAACGATAACTTGATACAGATACAAATACATAGAGGTCTATTTGACAGTTGAATAATAAACTAAAAGAGTACTTAACCCCAAATCCTAGGGTAGATAATATGGTAATTTTGCTCATGGATATGCCTTTATTAGCTGATTGATACATGTGTATGTAAGAAATCCAAAATAGTAGCTTTTTCTATGATGTTGCAAATATGAATGACTAAACAGCTAGCACTGGTGGCTCAAGTTGGGGCATATCTTCAATTTTCGGTGGACATGATAATCACAGTTCAGTCAAAGAGAACTCAACTAGCAAACCATCTCATGAACCTCTTCATATCATGGAGCAGAGCTGTTCAATGATTCATTTAAGAGAGGTATACATTTTACTCTCCCAACATTTTCTGCTGTTTAAGTTGCTGTTATGCTAACCTTTATTTTTTCCTCTTTTTTTCTTTTTTTTTTTCCCCAAAGCCTCCTAGTGTACTGAGACCCACTGAAGCACATTCAGATCAAGAAGCCATTGAGATTACTGTTACAAAGTTGCTACTTAAGTCGTACTATGATATCGTGCGGAAGAACATTGAGGATTCTGTACCTAAAGCAATTATGCATTTTCTGGTAATTGTTTATGCATTTTGAGGAAATTGTCGTCAAACTCCTTACATTTTATTTGGCTTTTGATCTCTTTCTGTCAGCACTAGAGAATTGATTAATCAAGTTCACCATTTTCCTAAACATTCAAAATTTTGTTTAATCAATTATGTGTAA